TTCCCCCAAAAGCCAAGTGTGGTGGTATGTATCTGTTGTCTCAGCTGTTCAGAGACTTAGGTAGGAGGATCATGACATAGTGAGACCCTGTTTGAAAAAATAATAATAATAGCAATGAGTGTAAATAGCCAAAAGAATGAGTACTTTCCATCTTGGAAGGACAAAGTAAATGATGTGTGCGAATCTGCTTTATAAATTTCCAAGGAGGTGATAATTAACCACCTGACACATTAGAAGTTTGCTCAATAAAAGTTTTTAAATGAATGACTGTAGGTTAACTAAATAATTAATTAAACTACATGTTGAGTGAACCAGGGACATGAAAGATAAGAAGGTACTATACTGAAGAATAATTTATGTATGATTTTCTCGTGAAGGGTACAGTCATGATTCCCATGCTAACTGATTTTCAGCACAGCTCCCCTGACAACATTACTTTTATGCACTAACATGACCTGAACAATTAACTTAAGAGGCCCACAAAGTTATATTAACATTTTACATTGTTCAGAGGGATTAAAGTTAATTGACTCAATTACTTAAGTCAGCATAACAATACCTCTACTTGGAGTATTTTCACTTGAGTATTTCAAGGCCCTTCATAAACCTATAGTGAGAAGTGTCTTCCTCTTCCCTTTAAATACTCAGGAGCAGAGGTACACTTAATTCTAATGAAATTTTTCCCATGGACAAAGACACATTTTTGCTCTAAATTTAGCCCATTAGAATGCAATTGCCCATAGCATTTCAAATGCTGTTTCAAATGAAATATTGCAAATAATGAAAAATTGTTTTAAGGTACAACAGGGTGTCATTCCCTGCTAAAGGATACCTCAGAGAATGGTAGATTTAAAAAAACTAGGGCCAGCAGATAGCATAATTATTATATCACAGGACTCCCATATGGCTGACTACACTTGAAATCCTGGACCCAGCAGCTTAAAAATCACACTGGCCATGTGTGCATGCCCAAAATCCTGAGAGGAGAATGGAGGGGAAGGGATTGTGGCATGGCCATTCCTCCTGGCGGGTGATCTCTTGCTTTCCGCCTCTCTGTTTTTTCAGCATGCACATGCACCCTATAGCAAAAATCTCTTTTGAAAAACAAACAAACAAACAAAAACCACTTTGGCATGTGTGTATACAAAATCCCAACAGGACAGATAAATGGAGAGGTAGAGATTACAGTGTGACTACGCTCCCCACCGGGAGGTACTTTGTCCCTCTTGCACACTCTCTCTGTCTCACTGAGGGCACATACCTTGGCAAATAAAAAAATTTTTTTTAAAAAGCTAAAAATACTTTGTGAAGCTTTGTGGTGGTTAAAGACAAGAGTATAAATCAGGCAGGTTTAGGTTTAAATTGCAGAATCAACCTTACTAACTGTGTGACTTAGAGCAAGCTATTTAACTTTAAGTCTCATTTTCCTCATCTATACAAAAAACATTAGCAATAGTTTCTTCACAGGGTCATTCTGAGGATTAAAGAGTATAAACTAAATAGCAGAGTATGGGGCACATGTAACCACTCATTATACCTATCATCATCATCATTATCACCACCACGTCCTCGACTCCAAATTCCTGTGAGGATTAATTTTATGTGTAAACTTTCTGAGAGTGATTTGGGGTGAGATTAACGTGTAAATCAGTGACCTCTGAGTAAGCAGGTTACCCTCCACTCATCCAGGCTGTTGGACTGAATATAACACCAAAACAAAACAATAACAACAACAACAAAAAACAGCTCCCTTAAGCAAGAGGGAATTCTCCAACAAAGTCTTCAGACTTCTTCAGCACCATCAGCTCTCTTGGGTCACAAGTCTGTGAGCCACCACTGCAGATTTGGACTTCCCAACTTCAACAGGCTCATGGCCCACCTCCTTAAAAGAAAAAGAAAGAGAGAAGGAAAGGAAAGGAAAGGAAAGGAAAGGAAAGGAAAGGAAAGGAAAGGAAAGACTATATAGATGATAGATAGATAGATAGATAGATAGATAGATAATAGATAGATAGATAGATAGATATGGACAGCCCATGGCATAGTAGCTAAGACAAGCTGGGTTCCAAAAAGCCAACTGTTTGGTTCAAGTCCAAGTTGGCTTGAAAAACATGCCAGGTGCATGTATGTGCACGCATGCTCAAACCAGGAGAGTGGAGGAGAAGGGACTGCAGTAGGACCACCTCCTCTGGGGGATCCTTTCTCTCTCTCTTGAGTATTTCAAGGCCCTTCACAAACCTATAGTGAGACTATATATATGACTATACACACACACACACACACACATATATTTTTTCTGTTTCTCTAGAGAACCCTGATAATATAGTACCCTCAATATGCATGAGAACCTAAATCATAAAATAGATCTAGTGGTATAAAATAGAGTACAAGCATCACTTAGAATATAACATCCTTGAAAGCAAGGATCAATCTTCAGGTATTAGTCATGCAATAAGTATTCAGTAAATTTTTAAAGAGTCAATTAGTCAATGTACTTTATTGTAACCATGCAAATACTGTAGCATTTTTTATAAGTGTCTGTGAATTGATATCATGCATAAGGCATAAGTTTGTAATGTGAAAAAGTTGTTAGATAAAGAAGTGTTCAGATTACTTGCTATGCCAGATGGCTGAGAGAGTATATGAGCTGCCCCAAATGTCATCCTGGGGAACAGAATGTCCCAAAGGAACTGAAAGCGAGGGAATGGATGAATCACATCTGCCGTTGTCATGGATACTGTTCATCTTATCTGTGCAAACTTGAAAACTAAAAGCACTACAGAATAGAGTGGCTAGCTACCTAATTGAGGCCTCATCTGTTACTAAAAGACCTAGTCCAATAGAGGAATCCTTAATGTTTAATGAGTGCTCAAAGTGTAGTTGGCCTTGTGCAAAATGCACAAATACAATTTTTTCCCTACCATCTAGGTGTTCTCTACCTCCAGTGCTCTTTAGAATCATCTAGAGAACTTTAAAAAGAAAAATCGCCGATGGAATCCCATCCCCAGAAACTCTGACTTAAGTGATACGGGGTGAAACCTGAGCATGGGTATTTTAAAGTTCCCCAGATGGTGCTAAGATTATTCAACCAGGATTAAGAACTATTACTCTGGGTGTCTACAGTCTGTGTGATGTGCAGATATTCCACTCTTCTACCTTAACTTCTTTTACACATTAATACTTTTCACTATCCTTCATATATTTAACCTAAATAGAGAATGGTAACCTGTAACAATGATCTGTATTAATGGAGTTTTTCCCTATCTTGTAATTATCTCAGTGCTCCTCATCTGCCCCTTCTGAGAACTCATCAAGGTAAAGGTAAAAGCAGATGGAAGATAACAGATTTTGTTATGGATGAGAAGCTGAATGGAATAAGAACTTGAAGCTAAGGTTAAAACCAACAGTTATGGGGGCCAGCAGGTGGTGTCATGGTTAAGGTATTGAACACCCCCATATGTCTGACCATGGTTCGAGTCCCAGACCTAGTGACTTGCTTTCTCACTTTCCGCCTCCCTCTCTCTCTCTCTGTCTCTGGTCAAATAAAATAATGAGTGAATAAATAAAAATAAGTATTTAAAAGAAAAAAAGCAATAATTCTGAGGACCAGGTAATAGAACAGTGGCAAGTGTAATGCTGAGTTATTGCCACATGGGGATATTTCTGGTTCAAGTCTGAAACCCTCCCTGAGTATATTCCAGGCATGGTTTTGCCAATGATCCAAGTCTAGCTGAGGGCTGGGGGTGGATTGTGGAGTCATAATAGGGGTGGTATCTCATTTTCTCTCTTTTTTCACTCATGAAAGAAAGAAATAAACAAAACAAACAAAAAGCAATCACTCTGTTAACTTGTGACTCTTAGGACAATCATAAAATCAAAAGACTAGGGCCCAGCTGTAGTGGTGGTAAGTGTGGAGCACCTCTTCATGAGGTTGAGATCATACAGTAGGCCTGGGTTTGGATCCTGGACCAACCTAAAGAAACTGGGTTTGGTAGCATTCCTGTTATCCTACCTAACTGGGGAAGTGGGCAGGGAGAGAAACATAAGACCCTGTCAGAAATACTTTTCATTATTTCTCTCTCTCTCTCAAAAGAACAAAAAAAGTAAAATAATTCAATAAAATAAGACTAATACAAATCAGAGCTAAAAGTAAGTTTTATGTAGTATTAAGTGGGAAATTATCTGAAAGTAAATTAATTTGCAAACATGTTATACAGCTCTGTAACATCTATGAAGACATAATATTATGAAGCTCTGAAACATTAAGTGACTAGTAGGAATTTACTAAGTTTCCAATTTCATTAAATATTTTAGCAGGTGGCATGGTGGTTAAGGCAGCTGGATCTCACATAGCCAATTCCATGATTCAAATCCCAGACCTGGTGGCCTGAAAATCACACCAAGCATGTGTATGTGTATGCCTAGAATCCTGACAGAATGGAGGAGAAAGGACTGCAACAAGGCCATGTTCCCCCCCCCCCGGGGTGGGGTGATTGGTCACTTTCTCTGTCTCTATCTCTCTCTGATGAGCATACATGCCCTAAGGCAAAAATCTAAAATAATAGTAACTGTCATTTTGTTTCTGGAAAGGGAAAATAAAGTAAACAGTACTATTGTACTTATTATGGTCATACCAGTCAAGGTAAGCAATCCCTTCAAGATAAAACATAAAACAAAGGACTAAACACACCAACATAAATTTTCTAGACAAAAAGGTTTAAAAGATACTACAAAATAAATATTTTTATTGGAAATTATGATGCCTTATTCTTAAATTGCATTTAAGAGTTTAGGAAACGTGTTGAAAATGAAACAACTCTTCCTAAAGTCATTGTGATTAGATAAACAAAGATGTAAGTAGGTCAAATGAATAATTTCAAATAGTACCTTATTCAGTTCCAAGCATTCCTGACCCAATTTTCCAGAGCCACATTGGGTGTGGCATTTTGGCAGGGGAACCCATATCCATACTTGGAGAAATTCTGGATACTGCTAGTTCCAGGTGACTGAAATTGCAAAACTACTCCAAAAAAAGTGGAAGAAATCATGTTGAGTTGGTCTCTTTTCTTGGTAACAAGTAAAATAAATTTATTCTGATGTATCGTACAAGTACATTTGGTATAATAAGGAGGATGGACTTATCACAGATTCATGAATTGTCACCGTAATAGTTGTAAGAAATACCTGAGTCCAAAACAGTTGTAAGAAATACTTCCTCTCACAGCGCAGGGTCACCATGGCCAGTAAGTCATGGACTCCGTGGTGAAGAGTCTGGAGCAAGAGAATATCCGGAAGATGCAGGGGCTCCTGTTCCGGTGCAGCGCAGGCTGTTGTGAGGACAACCAGGCATCCATGCAGCAGGTTCACCAGTGCATCGAGCGCTGCCATGTGCCTCTGGTCCAAGCCCAGGCCTTGGTGACCAATGAGCTAGAGAAGTTCCAGGACTGCCTGGCCCGGTGCACCACGCATTGCAATGACAAAGCCAAAGATTCCATAGACGCAGGGAGCAAGGAGCCTCAGGGGAAGCGGCAGCCGGACAGTTGCGTGTCCAGGTACATGGATGACCACGTGCACCTGATCCTGACTATGACCAGGAAGATGAAAGAATCACTGTCATCTTTGGGGAAATAAAAGTCCTTGCCAGTGACCTTTGAAGCTGAGGGCAGGAATCTATTTTTAAAAGAGCAATGAAAGTTTTAGTCTTAAGCAAAGTTTATGAAGAAATTAAGGATGGCAACAAGTTTAAGGCATATGTCCCTTGCCTGTAAATACTGTTCTTTTGTTTGTTTGTTTATATTTTAATCCTAGAGAGTGAAATGGAAAAACTGGTGCTAAAATTTGGGTCAGAGAGAGCACAAGAGTGTTTCAGAACCTGAGTTTCAAGTGGCAAGTGCTTGTCCTGACAGTAGGACTCTCCCTTTTACCAAGGGAGAGCCCTCCAAGGAACTAGATCTTCCTGCAGGTACCAACATACTGGCTGGCTCCTCTCACCTGCCCGTGACCTGGTGCCGTTTGGGGAGGTGTTTCTATTTGTTGCCAACCTGTTTACCAGTAGTGTAGAAGCACCATTTTTGTAAGCTGTAAAACGCAATTCAAGAAGACACTAACTTAGAAGGGGAAAAGGTTCCTCCGTCTTTGTTTTGCTTGGTTTTGTTATATAAACAAGGGCATATGGTTGTAAATGCAGAGCTGGGAGGGAAATTAGTTTGGACAACAACTTTGAAACAGTTTTTTGTGGACATCCTTTACTAGCCATCAGATGTGGATATGTATTTCTTCAAATTCTTACACAGCACGTCTTTCAGCCTGGAGACCAGGTAGCAACGTGAGTGTGGAATGCAGAGGGTCCCTCTTACTGACTGGCCTTGAAGCTGTCTACACAGAATGACAAGACAGTCTTACAGTGGCAGTTTCCCCTTGATAGGAAAGGGGATTGTTACTGTGATATATACTGGTCTCCAAGAGTGAACAGTAAAAGAGGAACAGCTGGTTACGTAAGAGAGTTAGAACACCTCGTTTTCCTGGAACAGAATGGAAGGAAGCCTAAGCCTAGCATGGCTTACTTAGCCTCCTGAGTTCCCAGAGTCCTACAGAGACAATCCCGGGCCACAGAAAAGTCAAGGGGGGAAAAGTAAGCAACTTGGCCAGGATCAGCTGGGAATCCCTAAAGGCCAAGGAGGGGCAGCCTCCCATTATCAAATACCATTTTGGCCTGGGGCCTTTGCTGCAGTGTTCCTGCCCCAGGGTGGCACCTTGTCCTTTCGATAAGGACCTGCTTGTCTTTTTGTCAGATTATTACTTGAAATAATAATATAGCCTGTCTGTTTGCTGTTTCAAGACTGTGATATATTTTCCTAGTGGTTTGGTTTTTTTAAAATAAAGTTTAATTTTGCCCCCACTTAAAAAAAAAAATACCTATCTTTGTCTCTCTTAAGGTTGGTGGGATATTTTTTGTTTATTTTTTAGGTTTTGTTAGCAAGCATGCGAGCTCACCTATGAGAGACAGAGAGAAAGAGAAAGTGAGAAACTACCCCTCCCCCACCCTGAGGGGAAGGCCATACCGTAATCCCTTCTCCATTCTCCTCTTGAGAGTTTGGGCACACACATACACACACTTGGTGTGTTTTTCAAATCGCTGGTCTGGGACTCAAACCACACACTCAGCCATGTGGGATTCAGCTACTTTAACTACCATGCTACTTGCATGGCCTTTTTTTTTTTTTTTTTTTTTAATTACCAGAGGGCACATCGGCTCACCAGAGTGAAAGAAAAGGCATCCCCCAGTAAGGTACGGTCATGCTGCAATCCTTTTTTGTTCATCCATGAGAACTGGGGAACATATGCCATGCATGTTTGTCAAAGCGCCAGGGCCAGGATTTGAACCATGGTCAACCATGTTGGGTCCATAGTACAGTGTCAAAGAATTTGTAGCCATCTTTAATCTACCACACAAATCAGCTTATTTGTTTCTTTCTACACTCTGAACTTTTCTCCAGCTGATTAACTCCTGCTTATAACTCAGATTGTTGTGAACTTTCACAGACCTAAATTCATCCTTTATACATGACTCCGAATTCATCTCAAGGGCTTCTCTGCATGTATACTTTACCTTCAAATTCACTATTAACTGCCTATTCTCTTTCCTCAGTTCATGTAAATAAGAGTACGAATGCCGGGACCAGCAGAAGGCATGATGGTTACATCACTGAACTCCCACATCATTGACCATGGTTTGAGTTCTGGACCCGGTGGCTTGAAAATCGTGCAGGGTACGTGTGTGTGTGTGTATGCCCAAGATCCCAGGAGCAGAATGGAGAAGGGGTTGTGGCATGGCCATCCCTTCTTGGGGTGTGTGTGGGGGGTGATTTCTCACTTTCCGTCTCATTAATTCTCTCTTTCCTCCATGACCGCATGCTTCCTAAGGCAAAAACCTCTTAAAAAAACAAAAACAGAACAAAACAACAACAAAAAAACTCACACCAGGTGAGTGTGTGTGTGTGTGTGTGTGTGTGTGCACGCGAGTGTGTGTATGCATGTGTGCCCAAAATCCTGACAGGAGAATGGAAAAGTGGGATTGTGGCATGGCCACTCCCCAACTCCCCCAACCCTCCTTCAGGTAATTTCTTGTTTCTGGCCCCAATTACTTCTGTTTAATAACTCCTTTCTGAAGGAGGTATTAAAATGCATGTGGTTTTTCAATAACATTTTTCTCCTTAGTATTTATATTTACCCCTTAATACCCACTTAATGTTATCGCCTCTGAATAGAAATGATGGTGTGCTGGGCTGGCTGATGGCAGGTGGTTAAGGCGGCCGTGCTTCACATGGCTGACTATGCAGTTTGAGTCCCACACTCAGGTTGTTGTGACCTTTCACAGACCTAAATTCATCCTTTCTGCAATTCATCCTTGACGCTTAAAAAACACACTCTGTGTGTGTGTGTGTGTGTGTGTGTGTGTGTCCAAAATCCCAAGAGAT